GCCTCGTACGATTCTTTTCTTCCGTGCCCTCTTGCTTCAGACTGTCACTGTGTATAATTATCGGACTTCCCTTTGGACTACGTATTTGGATTCCTCTGCTGTATGTGTTTGCTGGCTCTGATCTCGGACTGTTTATACCGACCTGTGATTTTTGTGTTTCACCGTGTCTTGTATGGTTTTGTTTAGCGTTAGTTCTCTTATTAAAGAGACGGTTTTGTTTTACATTTCCTTGTCTGGCCTTTTAATTGAGTTCACCCTCAACATTTTTGGCAGCATAACGCGCCGATTCCTGACATGTGGTGTGTGCGTGTGTGTTTGTCTTTATATACTTGTGCGAACCAACCCCTGATGGAACACCTTTCTTGTGTGGACATTTCATTGGTGACTTTCACCAATGCGGTTTCTGTACTATGATGGACTCTAAATCCTGACTGAAAATCCTCAAACAAATCATTCTTGTGCAAGTGGTCACATAACTGCTTTGCTACAGCTTTTTCAAGGATTTTGGAAATAAATGGGCGATTGGATATTGGTCTATAATTAGCTAGGACACCTGGGTCAAGAGTAGGCTTTTTGAGTAGAGGTTTAATTACTGCAAGTTTAAAAGCCTGTGGAACATAACCTGTTAATAGAGAGAGGTTAATCAGATCTAGTATGGATGTGTTGATTAGGGGAAAGACGTCTTTGAGCAGCCTGGTCGGGATGGGGTCCAGGAGCCATGTTGATGATTTAGATGAAGCAATTGTTGAGGTCAACTCAGAGAGATCTATAGGGGAGAAGTAGTCCAAGTATAAATGAGGTCTTACAGATGTTTCTAAAGCCATTGTAGTAGATGGCACATCTGCGAGAGCTGTGGGAGTGGTCCGACCAATTTTTTCTCTAATAATTGTGATTTTATTTGTAAAGAAGCTCATGAAGTCATTGCTGCTGAGATCTAAAGAAAATAGAAAATAGTGAGTTTAATTCCTAAACAATCTGGAAGCAGGCACAGAAAACAGGAAGTGAGTACAGTTGCCGCAGGAGCAGGAAACAGCGGTCTGTCAAAATCTCATCTTCTAATTCAGATCCATTGCATCTTATTGCAGATTTGATAATCTACTGACCTTTGTTCAAGCTCCCCCTGCCGTACAAGTATTACCAGT